GTCAATATGTGTATATATACAACTTCACCAGCGTTTAAAGGGATAGTTCACCCGAAAATGAAAATTCTGTCATTATTTGCTCACCCTCAAGTTGTTCCAAACCTGTATGAATTACTTTGTTTCTGTTGAACGCAAAAAAAAAAAAAAAAAAAGTTGCTGACTGGTGCACAAGTTATGGTCTGATGTTCAGAGTATTTCAAACAGAGTATGGTTTCTGAAAAGAGATTGACTACTATATTAATTATAAGGTCTAAATTAGTGGTCGACCAATATGGGGTTTTCATTGTCTTATACTAATCATGTACACGCGCATATGATACAGGTTCATTAAAAAAAAAATTATTTTATAATTTTTTTTTTTTACATTTAAAATCCGTATAAGCCTCAATACCAAGGAGGTCTAGCTTATATCTTGGTCTATCAAATATTTAAAATGATAAATATTTAATCTTGATAGTCACTGATGCTAAGAGAGACCTCGCTGTACTGTATATAGGCATAGGCATAATTTTGTATACCTGCATGACAACAAATCTCCAACAAATCAATAGAAATTGAAGACACATTCCTGGGAAATCAAGCTTGAAAACTGTTAACAACGTATGTAAGTAACTGTATGCAAGGGTAAAAAAGCACAAGTTAATTTATATTTCATAGGCCTGTAATTGTAACAAAATAAGCAGAATACAAAGTCTGAGCAAATACTTACATTCTCGTGCAGCTGTTTCAGAGTGCCTCACTGAAGGAGAAAAGGCAAAAGGTGATACAATTAAAATTAAAATTTCGAAGAAGAGGTAGAGACGTTCAGATATGAAGGGAGAGACTGAGATGCAAGGCTGAAGCGGACCGACGCTGAAGCAGGACCCCCGCGCGAGTCATCAGTGCCGCAGTGAGAGCGCTCGCGTAGAAATGTTCCGTTTCGCCTTGAGGGAACTCCAGGAACGGATTTTTAGGGTGACCAGTTTGCTCTCTAAAACTTAAAAAAAGAACGTGAATGAGAGAAGCTTTAAACATACAGAGAGCAGCGTTGGATCGCGTCGCTGCGCTGTTCTTCGGTGGTGTTGGTTTGTAGGTTACTGTAGCAGATGTGCGCGCTGCGTCGCTGCTGTAGCTGAACTCGTGAGGATGAGGATGATGATGACGCGCAGCATGTTTCCACAGCCCCATCCTCTCTCTCTCTCTCTCTCTCTCTCTGTACTGCGGTACATCAGTGAATTCAGAGTGCTGAGTCGGCTTGTTCTCTCTTAAGCCACTTTTCTTCTCTGTGAGAACTGGTTTCTCCACACTCCCCGCATGCTATTTTCCTCATGACCTGCAGTCTATCAAAACATCAGGACAGATTTCTGACCGCATCAACGCACTTAACCCATTTTGGGTTACTGTATTTAAAGAAAAATGCTGCATGCTATTTATAACATGATAATGATCTGTTAGCTATAGACAGAATGCAGCACCAAATCTTGTTTTTACACAACAGTAATTTGTGAAATGGGAAATGTGAAGAAACCCAGAACAAAATCAGCGCCCATTTAATCGTGTTTTAGTCCAATTTAGAATGGATCTGTATTTTGAGAGTAGTGATATATAAAGAGTGATATTTATTCATTTAGAGGGTCTGTCACACAGCTTCAGTGATGTTTAACCCTCATAACGCATCCGGGTCCGTTTTGACCTGGGAGAGGTATATAAACATTTCTAAAAACTGCATAGTTTTTAGTAGTGGATAGAAATTGAGGCCCTCAAAACATTCTTTTTTTTTTTCAGATTTTTTTTTAAAGAGATATAACCATTTAAAAAATGTTGTGGACCCGGGTATGTATAGAGTACCATTAGGTGTCAAAAATACTTTTTGTTAAATTATCAAGTTAAATTAGAGTTAAAAAAAAAACCTCTTGTATAATATGTTTAGCATTTTACCCATATCTCACAATTTGGTACTGAAGTTTGCTGTTTTTTTCATCTGAAAGTTTACATTTAGTCATTTAGCAGACGCTTTTATCCAAAGCAACTTACAAATGAGGACAATAAAAGCAATCAAACGGTGTGTGTACTGTGTCAAGTCTTGGTTAGCCTTACGCAGTACACATAGCAAGGTTTTTTTTTTAAATAATAAATAAAAAGAATAGGGAATGCTTGTGTTAGAGGGTCTTTTTTTTTTTTTTTTTTAAAGACGACAAGTATATAGAATAGAAATAGAATAGAGATTGCTAGAGTTAGAGGGTCAAGATGGAAGAGATGTGTTTTTAGCTGTTTCTTGAAAGGACTCAGGACTCAGCTGCTCGGATCGAGTTGGGCAGGTCATTCCACCATTCAAGTCATTCAGTTTATGCAGGTAAAATTTATTTATTTTGTTTAAAAACTTTTCATAGTAATATTTATGTTGTTTTGATTAGAATTAAATAATTAGCATTGAAAAATTTGGGCTGTTTTTGAGCAATCATGAGTTATAAAGTCAAAGGAATTTTATAATTTTTAACAACTTTAGAAATGAATAGTTTTATGCATTCATTTAATAATTTCTCTTTTGTTTTTTAATCAAAACGGGGTAAATGCAGTACAAACATATAATAACATGGTACTCTTCAGATTCCCTTAACCATAACAAAGCCCTTTATTATAAAAGGAACTGAAAATAGTGATACAAAATCGACAAAGAAAGAAATCCAAAAACCACAAGGGAAACTATAGTTGGTTGGCATGAAATAACTAGCAAATAAACACTGAAGTGAGCACTACTATGTGAAGTACTTTTCTCTGACATTATTTTCTGCTTCACCAAATATGTTCAGATCAGATGTTACTTAGATGATACTTAAAAGGAACAAATGAAGATGCTCATTCACCATTATATGTAAGAAGTATTTTTTTGGATATTCTTTTCTTTCAGTAGAGTTTGTTGTTAGTCTGTTCTGTTGTTCCTCTCTCTAACATTTGTTAAGAAAACTCATTAACTCAAGTTATTCTTGCTGTTTTTTTTTTAATCATATATGAATTCTGTGTTCATTTCTATCCATAATCCAGTAGGAAACCTTTCATCAGTTGTATTTGCCCTTGTCCTCTGTCAGTCCAGACACATCTTATTCCTCTATTTCTTCTCATCATCTTTCTTGCCCTCTGGTGGTTTTGTTCTGTTCTGGGAAGCCAGAGAGCCCATGGCATTACGGATGGCTTCATTGTTGGGGTCGACACCTGGAAGGTTCTCCAGCACACTCTGCAAAAACTCTGGATCCTGCATCACATCATAATCCTCCTCATCCTCCTACAAAACACACAAAGAGTTTCAACTGGGATGTTTCATGCACTTGTCCTGGGCATAGTTGTATGTGATTATAAACTTACCTCTTGACAAATTAAAGGCAGTAACTAATATATATGTTACAAATTAAATGCATAAATTTAGCAGCTCAGTATAGATTATCCACTTCCTCAGATGCATTATTAGCAGTTCCAAATTTAATCAGTTTAGCTCCAGGTTTTTATTGGAAAAACATAAATATCTCACTGGCTACAAGGTCAACTTCAAGAACACAACTGGCAAAAATATGAATCCTCCATAGAGCGCAACAGTGACTGTCAACTTTTCTGTGGCTTGGGTTCCAGAAGTATTTTTCCCATTCATCTTTTTCCATAGGTTTTATGAAAAAAAAAGTCTTTGTTCAAGACCAAACCAACCAGCTACGAGGTGAATCACAACATTATAAACGTTCATTTGAAGCAAAAAAGTGTTTGAAAATCAGACAAAAGTACAAGACTGTGTATTTAACTGAGTGTACTTAACTAGTTAATGAGGAAAAAAAAAGGCAAATATATAGACATACAGATGTGTGTGTGTGTGTGTGTATTAGGGCTGTGCGATATTGAAGAAAAATGCGATATGCGATAACTCATTAAATAATGCGATATTCGATATGCGATACGATAATGCTTAAAGTGCCACATGCTCAAATGAAACAGTTTTACTCAGCTGTTGCTGAGTCAGTTCTGTGAACTTCTATAACTATCTTGTGTCATATATATATATGGTTATTTGTATGTATGTATGTACCAAGAGCTCCTGTAAAACCACAACAAATTCCTTGTGTTTGCGCACACTTAAGTGGTGAATAAAGCTCATTCTGATTCTAATAAGAAAGCACCCCTACAACAACTTCTGAAAGTGAACGGTATGTTTTACCCGAGCATTACATAAAAATGTCATTTTAACATTAGTGTAATCATTTTAACATGAGTTTAGGAACTGAATAATAAAAAGGAAAAATAAAACACTGCTTAGTATTTCCTCTTTGAATTCAATATGCACGGATTCTTATTTAAGCTACAAAAGTTATTTAGGTAAGAGCAGTGAGTGATTTTCTCTGTCTTTTGTTCATGGCCCCAAATATTGCAAGCTGTAGCGATATGCATATTGCGATATGTACATTTGCGATATTTCGATATATTGCACAGCCCTAGTGTGTATGTATTTATATTAAAATGTATATTACATTTATTAGCATAGGGATATTATTTAATACAGAAGTTGAAATAATGAGGACAGATGGATTCAACAGAAGCATGTACCATCGATTAACAACCTCATATCTCACAGTAGGTCTGTCTTATTTGTACATAAGTTATCGTGAAAATTCATTTCCCCTATGGAGAAAAGGAATTAGATTTTTTTTTTCTTATGTGCAGTTATAGTATGGCAAGATCAAAGCGGCTCTCATACAGCGCTTCATTTAGACAGAACCAAAGACGAAAACATAACTTTCCTAAAACTGCCTTGCAATCACTGGTATTTTCTTCAGTAGATGCAAATCTAAATCAGCATTTCTGTTTTGTGTGGTTTTGGCTGGCTGTATGAAGTTTCGCAATAGCTTCTGAATAATGGGTATGAAGAATATGTCGCTGCTTTTGATTATTCTCACAACATGACTGTGCTCAAAATTCTGATCTCCTCTCTAAAAGCAAAGCAGACATGGTTTGAGGAAGAGAGCTGGGAAACACACCTTAGGAGCTTCACTGTCTGCTGCTGCACCTGTGTCCACATCCATGGCCTCTGAACCGCCAAACTCTGTGCACAGTTTTTAAGAGTAAGAGTATTTAGTTTTAAGAGTATTAAGAGAATGAAGAATAAAGCCTCGTGCACACCGGGACAATTATCGCACGCGCTTATCGTCAGCGTTTTTCGATGTGTCTTGTGTGCTCATACCCAAGCGATTTTCACTGGCGATGAGCCGAGTGAACATGCAAATTCACTCCCTGACATTAGATGGCGCTTAATGAAAAACAGAAATACCCCGGTACACATCGAATCCTGTTTGTTCTGCAATTCCTCTCCATAACAACTCCCTCTTATCGAGATTTTTGTAGGACTTCGCTGTCGCGTTTGTCATAAAGATATTTGTGTTCAGACACCAATGAGACCAGTAGCTCTACATTCATCTTGCCTCTTGCATCACACTCACATTGGTGCACTTTGTTTAGTTACGAGGCATTAAACGTCGGCAATAATCGCGTGCGATAATCGTCCCGGTGTGCACAAGCCTTTAGAATTTATGAAGAGTACAGAGACTGACCGCCTCCTTGCATGGACATCTGTAGGGCGTATGCGATCTGTTCATCCTCTGTCATGCGGCTGAAATCAGGCAGAGCAGGAGCTGTCGACATCTTCAGCAGGGCATTTTCAGACTCTAACAAAAGCACAGAAGACATCTGGTCATATTAAACACATACTTCCCATGAAACAAACTTTTATTTTTATATACAAAAGGTTTCACTCTGCAATCTAGAGCATGGAGAAACTTCCCTTATACACAACTCAAGTTCTTTATTTGCAAACAAAATATGAATATTATTTAATTAGTTAATTATTACAATGGCATGAACAACAA